ATATTTATGATAATGACTGCCACCTCATCAAGCCATCACATTAAAAGAACTTCCACAAGTAACTACAAGAGAATAGTAGAACCAATGAAGGATTGGATCAAGTAGTAAGTAGCTTGTTTCAACTTAAATAAGGTTTCGAGTTCGAGACCTTATGAATGCAGCAGCTCTCGCTGGAAGACTCACTCACCATTTTTAGGTGCGCAACGTGAGTCAGGTCCGAATTAATCGGGGCGAAGTGTCGGATATCAGGCGAGAAACCAAAAAGAACAAGAGAATAGTAGAACACGAGGCAGAACTACAAGAACAAATGAGGAATTGATATTTGCACCATTCCCATTGGATTTTGTAATAAAATAAGCAGAAAAAAATGAATGTCTCTGTTCAATTGCATAAATTAAAGACTGCTACAGGGACCAAGAAAGAATTATCAATTATAAGTAATAAATAATGTTATCCTATGTTCGTTAGGTTAATGCATGATTCTTTGGTCAAAAAAATTGAAACCTCAAATGTTAGGTTATAGATAGGTATATCATGTGGCTGTTTGATTGTAGCATGAAAGACACATAATCATCAGTTTACCAAGGGAATGTGAAGACCATAAAGATAATGGAACCAATTAATTTACCCAATTTCTAGGAGGTTATGGGCTCAACACAAGCCATGGCTATAGTTTTGTTTACATTTTTTTACCTCTCTTTTTTACTATACTCAAAATTCCAAACAAGTGGGAAAGCATATGATTTTTTGATATTTCAATATACTACTGTCTTATTATGAGATTTTTATTTCATAACCTTTTAATGTAAAGGTTAAACCATTAAAGAGTTAAACAAGAAGAAAAAAGGAAAATATCTTACATATCCTTCTCAATGTCATGCCCTCCTTTGCATCTCTATCTTGAGAAGAAACGAACCACCCCCAACAACACCTACATGGAATGTTTTGTATGAACTAGAGACCAATGAATCTCTTGGTGTGTATGTAAGTGGAGAAAGGGACAAGTCCAATGTGTGTCTTGGCATCAAGAACCATAATAGGCAGTTTTACATGTTACTTCATTCCCATTTTGAAACTGTCAGCATCCCCCAAAACCAAAATGCAACAAACCTCAAGCTCTCAGATAGTTTGTCAGGGAACAAAGTACAACAATAGATGATGGATGCCGAGTCGCCGGCATCTTATCTTTTAACTTGAAGTACATTTAGTTACTATGGATCTTGGAAAAAAAATAATGCGGATATATGGTCAATCAAAAATTAATATAACTTAAGAAATTAAAATTTATGACATGAAAATTAAGATGTAATATAATTATTATAAAAAGAGGTAATGGATCATATTGCACCCTTTCAAGAAAGGTTTATTTATTTATTTATTTATTTAAGTGACATAAGGATTAAGAAAAAAATAAATTATATTTGTATAATTTTTTATTTTTTTATAATTAATTATATTATAAATATAATTTATTTTTTATAATCAATTATTTTGTCTTGATTCACATATTAAAAATTTTAATTTTTTAAATTAGGTCATATCAATTTTTAGTCAACTATCCTAATTTATTTTTTTGAAAATTTTGGTAACCAAATAAATCTTTAGTATGCACCCACAGCTATTGCTGTATGGGTAGCGTGCATTTTAAACATGGACAAGTTCATAATTCAACTCCTTGTAATGTCATTCCTTTTTCATAATTTCTCAATGTTAAAAAAAAACCTATAATATTTTTGTAATTCAAATAATAAAATGGTATTCACTGGAGTAATAAAAAAGAAAAACAATTTATTAATCAAACATTTAAAATCCTTACTTTAAATTTTCATATGATATTAATTTGGTTAAATCCTCAATTTGGTCCTTAAACTAAAAAAATCTTTAATTTAGTCTTTGAACTAAAAAAATTCATAATTTGATCCCTAAACTATTGCACGGACCTCGATTTGACCTTATTGTTTACCAGTTTATCTTAAATTGGTCATTCCATACAAAAACAAACTAACATATCTTGTTATTAACATGACATATAGCCGTTAAGTTACTATTTTTTATTGTTAAGTTACTGTTTTTCGTCGTTAAATAATTGTTTTTCGCTGTTAAATAACAGACATGTCAATTGTTTTTTATACAGAAGGACCAATATGAAGTAAATTGTTAAACAGTATGGATTAAATTGGAGATCCGTATAATAGTTCAGAACTAAATTAAAAGTTTAATCTATTAATTTCAATGAAAAAGAAAATCTTAATGAGAATGAGTAATAATAATATAATATAAGATTATTCAAGGACCTTTTTTTATAAAAAAATAAAAAAAATCAACTCTAATCATCCGTCTTAAGCATACACATAGACACATGGGTCCCGTTCCAAGATATCAGAAAGGCATATGAACAGTCTCATCATGCTTGCTGCTCCGCACATGCCGTCACAGCGTATCATATTATACCTTTCGCATTTAAATCAATATACACTTATTATAATATT